GCGATACCAAACAGCGAGACTCGCGGAGCGCACTTCGCTCGTTGCACGAGAAGAAAAACAGCTCGGGGGGAAAAAAGAACCGTCAAAAATAAAAACACCGCAGCTGCATTATTTTACGAACATGTTCATTTTTCGATTTAAAGCTTTCGTGACTGCAGGGATTCATCTTCTTGGTTCTTTCGGTAAAGTCACGTAGAAGGGAAATAATAAAATAATACAAATTAAACATAATAAAATTAAATTCTAACGACGTTTCGGCCACAACACAAGTAGCCTTCCTCAGGTGAAGAAACAGAACTGTCGGGAAGACGGTGCTCTAATGAACACTGCTAAAAGACGCTGCCAAACTTAGCAGTGTTCATTAGAGCGCCGTCTTCCCGACAGTTCTGTTTCTTCACCTGAGGAAGGCTACTTGTGTTGTGGCCGAAATGTCGTGAGAATTCTATTTTATTATGTTTAATTTGTATTATTTTATTATTTCCCTTCTACGTGACTTTACCGAAAGAATCAAGAAGATGAACATGTTCTTGTTAAGACAGGCTAACAGACGAACGAATAGACTGATCAGCAGACAGGCGGCAGTACTTGCCAAGAGAGGGAGAGAGAGAAAGACAGGGAGCTGTGCAACGCGGTGTTGTTAATCCAAGGGAGTGCTCATAACAAACGATCGCTTGCGTTTGTATACCACTGCCAACACATTCCCATACTTTTGTTTATTTTCGCTGTTATTCTTGTCGTCGTGTGTCGGCTTCAGAATTACCGCTACCAAACAAACCCCAGCAAGGTTTGCTTTCCAGAGCATGATCCAGAGCGCAAGCAGAAATGTTACGCTCCACCAACAGAGAGTAGCGCACTACTTGGGTAGAGAGGCATGCACGGGTATAACGACCTGTCTGATGGCGTCCGCCTTCAGTGGCTTAGAGCTGCAAACACCTACAAACAAGCTTGATTTGAAGCTTTCGTGACTGCAGGAATCCATACTCTTTGGTTCTTTCGGTAAAGTCACGTAGGTAGAAAAATAAAACAAAATTGAAATTAAATATGTATTTAAAAAAATTCTACCTACGTGACTTTACCGAAAGAACCAATGTTTTACCTATAAACAATCTTGTCGTGTATGAATCTGTGCGCCCGTCACACGCAGCACTGTTGTGTCAATGTGAGGAGCGGTGGCGAGAGTGGTGAGCGCCACGTCGCCATGAACCCTTGCCGACCGAGTTCGATTCACCAGCCGCAGCAAACATGGATCGTGATCACGTGAATTATGTGAAGCGGTTCTGAGTCTCGCCAAGGTCGACTCAGCCTTCAATGAGTACCTAGTGTTAGTGGTGTAAAACATCAGCATTGAGGAGGAGTCAAAGGCGGCACGGTGTGCGTGATGCTGGCTGCACCATCCCCACGTGCGCCGTGCCACCCTAAAATAGGTGCTCGCTAACAGCACTCGCCCGAGTAGTCTATGTTGGCTACACGGGCGAAGGTGACGGGGAGGAAGGGGCTCGGTGGTCTTTGTATTATCGAGGATCGCGTTTTGTTGTTCTTAAGCGAATTTCCCACCGAGACGACCAGAGTCGCGGGGCGATTCATCTCCCCGGGATCTGTGTGCCGAGTAAACGACGCTGCCGCTGCCGCTGCGTAAGTTGTGTGTGTGTGTGTTGGGGGGGTCTGCGCCTCTGCGCTGTTGGCGCGGCCTCCGTGTTGCCGCACTGCTCGTAGGAGAGAGAGAGAGGCACAAGCCACCACGGGGCGCGTCTCCTCGTGCACAGGCGAACGTCGCCCATTGCCGGGAGTGTGCGTGTTTAAACGTTTGAGTTTGATGGCGATGATTATGCCGGCGATGATAATGTAATTGCTGCTGATGCCAAGGACGATGCGATTGCTGCTGCTGCTGCTGATGCTTCTGCTGCTGGTCATCCCCATGCTGCTGCTGCTGATGATAATGCTGACGATGCCAATGCTCTTATTGCTGCTGCTGGTGGTTTTGCTGATGATGACTAAGGTGCTCCTGCTGCTCCTGCCAGCTGTTCCTGTTCGTGACGTTGACGACGATGTATAGCAATGACAAAGCGACTTCTGCTGATGATCATTATAACGCTGCTCTATATAATAATGACAGCACACTACTACTGCCGCGTCATCTGCTGCTGCTGATGTTGCTGATGATGATACTCATGCTTTTACTTAAGAGTCGTTTATAAGCCTTCGAAAGCAATTCATTATCATTCAATTTTGTTTGTATGGAAATTGCTTTTATTGTTCTTGCGCTTTAGTCTTCTAACAATGTTTTATTTTATCTGTACAGCACTTTTAATTGCAGATTTTGCACGAAAGAGTGCTATAGAAATGAAGTCGTGATTGATTGACGATGATTGAGATGGTCATGACGACGATTCCTTCGGCGGTGTTTGACTTCTGTATTTGGGTGGGGGTGGGAGTGCTGGTCGTCCCTATGTCCCTCAAATTAGGAGCAGCGGGTGCATTGAATTAATGTCTTCATTTGTAATCTTCATTGTAAACTACTGAAAATAAATTAATAAAGGTGCCCAGTTCGAAGGGGGGGGGACGTTGCCCCCCTCGTGCACCCCCACAAACTCGTCCCACGGACGACTCTACCACTATGGCTCATAATGATGATCCTCGATCATGTATTTGTGTCTGTGCAGGAGCAAGACAAGTCTGGGAGAAAATATCCTGGCATCTTGGCAGCAATATATACGTATTTTTCTATATATACAAAACAAAATTTACGTTAATTTATGTTGAAAAAAGCCGACCTGTACTCCAGGCCTGCATGCCACAACCGCCGCCGCTCGCTCGACACAGAAGCACCTTTGTTGAGACATTGGGATTCAAGTTCACTCACTCGGAAGGTTATTCTGGGCAATAATCGCCACCGTGGAAGCTGCGAGTTTGTGGTGCAGCGGGAACCATGTCCAGATCGGATTCTATTCCTCCTCCTCTTATTATTATTATTCGCTTGCTACTTCTGAAGAACTTTGATCTCACCCATGTGTTTGACAGCAGAATTCTTTGAGATTCTGGGGAATAGGGCTCATTTGTGATGGCGCGCCGAGTGAACGAAACAGACGCAGCTTTGTAAAATTCACTCATTTATGCAAAATGTTCAAGTATTGTGTATAACATTTGTGGGGGGGTGGGGGGGTAGCGAGGATGGAGGGTTGGGGCGGTGACACAGCGGTGAATGGAACTGTGCTGTGAACTCGGTGACCTGAGTTCAATTGCCGGCCACGGATAACATCAGTGGCCGAGTGATATACAAACGGGTCCTTAAGCCTGCCCTTCACCAACGCGCAGTAACCAGCGTGGTGACGTATGGTCAAACAACCCATCATGGCCTATACTGCATTTGGGAAGTCTTCCTCCAGCACTGGATTGATGCAAGGGCCGCTGTGCGTGTACACGTGCGCGCCAATTGAATAAACGTCCCGGCAAAACACGGAACGCTGGCCCAACGTTCGGGGAACCTTAAGGCAACGTTGGAGGAACGTTGGGCCAACGTTGTGGGAATACTGGCACAATGCTGAGGGGGAAACGTTGAGGCAATGTTTAGGCTAACGTTAATCCAACGGTTCCGACCACTTGTCCCAACGTTGGGCCAACGTTGCACGTTTTCTGTGGGTGTTAACTCTTATCTGTTATAAGGTTGACGGTGCTGTTTGTTTCCGGCAGCTTGATGTCACTGCTAAAGTTTTACGACGTCGCATCAGCTGATGCTGTTGTGGGGGGGGGGGGGGGGGGGGGGGGGGGGGGGGTTATGTCTGGATCTGTGTACGGTCAAGTACAGCAGGCGTATAAACACACGACGAAGCAACGAGAAGCATTTCTTGCCGAAAGTTTATTATTACTATGTACAAAATATAATTCTGTAAGCAATGTTAATTTTCGAGTGCATTAAACTCTCTATTGTAACTCAATCGATCTCAAATGCGACGAGGGTGAGGTTCATTTTCAAATCAAGGCTCCGGACAGCAATACGGACTGCAGGTTGCTGCAGTATAATGGGACGAGGACCGCAAAAAAAATTAATGGGCACCATGAATGATCTGAAGAGAGAAAAACAAAGCCCTCCCGCTGGCGAATCTTTGTCAAAGCAAATGTTTACAACAACAAAAAATAGTCTAAAATAAAAACATTTTATCGTCAAGAATAAGACATTTCTGAGAGATTAATAGCCATATACAGACTGTACAAATATAAAGAATCCAGATTAAATTGTTTTAGCTCACTCAGTCTTAATAATAATAAGAATATCGCGGACGGACGGGCAGCACGGAAGAGTGAAAAAACAAATTAAAATTATACGTTTAAAAAAGTAACAACAATAAAATATGCACGCACGATAAAATTTAACACATTTAGTACGCTAAATGACACTTCCGTTGAATGCGTATAAGTTTAAACAAAAACGTTGGACATCGTAGATCGGCAGGCGATGTAAAAATTGAAACCAAATTCTGCACGTCGCACACGCCATCGCTTCGGTCTGCGATGTTTCTTTTAATTTTCATGTCCCAGACGGGTTCCTTCCAACGACTGAGCCACTCTTTTGAAATTTACACTGGCTCACGTTTTTGTTATTGTTGTTGTTATTGTTCGATGCCTCTCATCCGCACACCCGGGGCATGGGCAAGTTTAAACCGAACAACAAACCAAACCGATGAAAAACGTGGCTTGCATTTTGCATTGATACAGAGGATCAGCCCTGTGTTGCCAATCCACTGCTGAATGAACAGGACCTCGCCATGCCGTGTCTTGGCTCGCGGAGAATTCGTCAGTGAGTGTGGATTTTTTTTGTATTTTACCAGGTAAGGCCCACACTGAGCTATAGCGCTCCTTTTTTTCCAGAAGCGACCTGGCCACAAATGATAGCTCAACGAAGTGGCTTATCATCACGTGGACATTTATAGCAGCCAAATACTCTGAGCGCGTGATGTTCATTCTAAAATGTGGGAGGAAAAAACCGTAGGACCCGGAGGAAGATCCACGCGACCACGGGGAGAACATGCAAACTCCAAGTATACAGGCATCGTCAGGGTCGGGATCGAACCCACGACCTCCTGTATATCAGGCGAGGTAGTTAACATCTCCTAGCCACCGTGGCGAGATGAGTTGATGAAGCGATAACAATGATTCCACGGCAAAAAAACGTCTTCATATCGATGGTGACATAATCAGGAAATAGACTGTTACCAGCACTTTTTTATTTTAATCATTATTATCATAAGGGAAGACTTCGAAAAGGGGAAGGCATCTTCTTTAGTCCTCACAGAGGATTGTTTTGTATCTCATTCGACCGCGCCACTCATTCGTAGTTTTTTTTTTTACAACAGCTCAAACGCCCGGCGGATGCGATAAGCAAAACGATGGCAACATTTGCGTCGACTCGGAAAAGACTCAAACATCTTCATAAACCAAAACGCAACAACGAAAAATGAAAACAAAAACATTTGCACAGTGAGATTAAGACACCTTCGAATAATTATTAAATATGCAGACGTGTTGCACAAACGATTTGTTCTCGTGAACTTTTTTCAAAGTAACCGGTGTTTGGCCGTGGACTGCCATTGCAGATATAGTGTTCCTGCGTGTTACGCGTGGATTTGCAGTGGTGGTGGTGCGAATGATGGTGGTGGTGCTGATGGTGGTGATCGCAGTGGTGGTCGTGTTGGTAATGGTGCTGGTGGTGGTGACGGTGGTGGTAGTGATAGTAATGGTGGTGGAGTCATTGTTTTAATTGGTAATGGTGGTGGTGTTGATGGTGTTGGTGGTAATGGTGGCGGTTGTAATGGTTGGTGGTCGTGTTGGTAAATTGTACTGGTGGTGTAGGGTTGTTGTTGATTCTGGTGTTGGTTCTGATGGTGGTTGTGCTGGTTATGGTGGTGTTCGTAGTCATGGTAATGGTGGTGGTTGTGGTGAAAATGGTGCTGACAGTGGTGCTGGCAGTTGTGGTGTCGGAAATCATTGCCGTAGTGGTTCGCGCACTGCGCTGTGATCCTGCAAGCCAGACACAATTCCTTACTCCACGTGGCCTCCCCTAGGTCAACTCAGCCAAAAATGAGAACAGCGCATCTTGTTCTGTTTGACCATCAGCACCGGAGCGACGCACGCACCGCCAACCGCAGTGCAGGCGTTTGTTCGACACGGCTCCCGCAAATGTCCCTTTGCTCGCCGTACCAGCCTTCAGCTGACCAGTCATTCGGCGACCTCAATTCAACCGGGTGCGGACCCTCTCGAACCGCAAGTCTCTTCCCTGAAGGCTGACCCAGAGCAACAAGCCAAACCCTTGCTACAACAGCACTCTCCCTGACGACTGTCCATCCCGCAAGTCTGTGTTCGTTACTACCGGGCCCGTCGTCTCTGATGATTGGGGGTTTGTGATGGCCATTCCACGTGTTTTGTTGTCGTGGTGGTGGTGGTGGTGGTGGCGGTGGTGGTGGCAGCGGTGATGGTAATGTCCACTCGCCCGTATAGGCTGGCCCATCCCCCCTCCCCCCCCCACCCAGGGGGCTTCCATTTCGGCCACACCGACCGGATCAAATATTTCCGTGCCCGGCACACCGCATCCAGTACATCACCTCGAGACACCAATGCGTCTAGGGCCTGCTGAGCTGCGTGTAGATGGGCTGCTCCCAGTGCTGGGGGCTGTGCGCTGCCGCCGGCGCCACGGACGCGTGCAGCGGCGCCGCCTCGCCGCCCGGCGCGTACAGCGAGCACTGGCCCGCCGCCCCCGCGTACGACGAGAAGCCGCCCGAGTAGAGGCCGCTCGCCTGGTGGCCCGGCGAGTGCCCCGACATCTGGCTGTAGTAGGCGGCGGCGGCCGCTGCGGCCGCTGCGGCGGCGGTCGCCGCGGCCGAAGGCGACGATGAAGATGACGACGACGATGAAGATGACGACGACGATGAAGACGACGATGGTGACATGACGGCCGCTGTCGAGTGCTGGTGGTGGCCACTGCCCTGCTGCTGCTGCTGTTGATGGTGGTGGTGGTGGAGGGCACCGTGGTGGTGCTGCAGCTGCTGGTGGTGGTGGTGGTGGGCACCGCTGTGGTGCTCCGCGTACTCGTAGTGCTGCTGCTGCTGCTGCGAGCGTGCATTCTGCAGGTCGGAGAAGGGCGGCCCGTAGTGCTGGATGCTGAACGATCCGTAGCTGATCGTCGGCTGCTGCTGCTGCTGCTGTGGAGGCGGAGGCGAGTTTTGCTGTTGCTGCTGCTGTACGGCAGCCTGCTGCTGCTGGCTGTAGTGACTCGGGCTCAGCTGCTCGGTCTTGATGTGCGTCGGCCGCTCCTGCTCCTGCAGCTTGGCCGTCCAGCCGGCCGCCACCGCCGCCGCCGTGAGGCCGTAGCCGTACTGGCTGTGCGGCAGGTACTGGTCGAACTCGTTCACGTCGAAGGGCTCCATGTTGGAGATGACCTCGCTGCTCAGCTCGCCCATGTCCACGTTGCTGAAGTCGATGTGCTGGCGAGCAGGGGTCGCAGCAGCCTGCTGCTGCTGCTGGTGGTGGTGGTGGAGTTGATTGTGGTGCTGCTGCTGCTGCTGCGAGTGCTGATGGTGCTGCTGCTGCTGCTGCGAGTGCCCCATGCTTGGGGCGGTGGGAGCGACGCACGTTTGGCTTTCGGGCGCCTGGAGGGGGCGCTTGGCGTCTCCGCCGCCAGCCTTGGCGCCCTGCTCCGTCTTGGGCGTGCTGGGCGGGGTGGGAGGGCTCTGTGCCTGGCCTGCTCCAGACAGCACGGAGGGCGGGCAGGTGGGTGGGGGGGGTTCCCCTCTCGGTTAAATCACAACAAACAACGGAACGATAGCACGACCGCTTTGCGCACTGCGGGCGTAAGCTACGAATTTACATTCGTGTTCATCGTCACCATCGTGCTGGTAATGATGATGATGACGAATAAGAGGCCGTCCATAAATGACGTCACGCGATTTTGGACCATTTTTGGCCTCCCCCCTCTCGTTACACGGCGTCACAAAAAGTCAGACCCCCCCTCAAATATGACGCCACAAAGCTCTGTCTCCCCCCCCCCCAAAAAAAAAAATCATGCTTGAAATCGCTTTATACTATTGTCATTGTAGTGCGTATTTAATGTGGCGCTGCACTCTGATGTTGAAGGAGAAAACATTTATTAAAAAGTCTATTTAATTAAGTAGAACGTGTTTATATTTATTTAAAGTTGCGCATTTCGACGTGACGTCACATTTCTCAACTCCCCCCCACCTCGTCACACATCGTTAACAAATGTCCGACCCCCCCCCCCCCCGCCGAGGTGCGTGACGTCATTTATGGACGGCCCCTAACTTGTTTGACATTGATGCAGCCTCGTTGTATTGGGGGGTGGAGGCAGCTGAGCTTCCACTACTGAAGGGTCAGCCTCTCACTGCCTCCCACCAACCCACCACCGTTTCAAAATGCTTCTAAATTGCCTCGGTGGAGTCAACTCAAACTGCTGATGGGGACGTTGGTTTCGCCGTTTGACTTGCGTCGCGTCGCGCCTCCCCCTGCCCGCCACGCCTCTCCCAACCCTGATATCTAATTATAAGTCACTCAGTCTCTCCGGGGCTCTCGGTTCAGTTGTTTTACAGCACGGTGAGGTCAGCCCCCGGTTTGCAAGCCACCTGCTAAACAAGGCCAGTAAAAAGGACGTGATGTAGCCAGGACGGCAGCTGATAAGGGCAACGTACCAGACGGCACGGGGTGGGCCTTTTAAGGCTGAGTCGACCTAGGGAAGCCGATAAGAGTGACCTGAAATCAAATCCCGGTTGTTGGGATCGTCGGGGAGCGGGCCACAAACCATTGCGACTTCGACTTATCGGGTGAACGTTTTAAAGGCTGAGCCTACCTAAGTGGAATCCGAAACCCCCGGGAAATCATTCGTGAATCGCGGCTGGAGCTCGCGGGTTATTGGGCAGAGCAATGTTGGCACTGCTCGTGTAACTTATCCACGCATGAACACGTAAGCACACCGACGCATGAACACACAGGCACACGCATTAACATGCATGCACACACGGGATCGCACACACAAGCAAACATGCACACTCACAGGCACTGAAATTAACGCTCGGACGTGAACGTACAATAAACGTGTGATAACGACACTTACACGCAGACGTGCGCACGCACAGATACTAGCAACGCTCGCCTGTAGAGCCTTAACAGACTGTGAGGGCAAGTGCTGTTAGCGAGCACCTATTAAGTCCGGCATAACACACGAGGGGGTGGTGGGGTCAGAACCACGCTGAGCCACATTTAACCTCCTCAATAATCCACAATAGAAGGGTTTTTTTTATAGGTTAGATCGCGCACATATAAATGTGTCGGGTTTAAATAGTGAGCTTCGTGATGTACATGACAAACCTCACTAATTGGATGTGTCGGGTGGTGGTGGTGGTGGTGGTCTTAACGACACATTTATATTTACGCGATCTAACCCCCCCCCCAAAAAAAAAACTCTGTTATGGATAATATCGTTCGCGAAAGCCTTCTACGTGTTCAACTCCTCGGTGCTGATGTTTACACAGCGCACCAGCTTCATGCCGCAACGCGTTCCCCGTGACACGGGATGACGCCGAGGGGACAATCCGAATGCGGTGAGCTCCACCAGAGGGCCTGACCTCTGCGCCGATGGTGGCGCGTACGCTTCCCTCGGCGGAGGAGCGCCTTTGCCTCTCCCTCGGAATTGTTCAGGTATCTCTGCGTAAAGTGCACGCGCTAAATATTGACGTCGCACTTTGTTGCCCCTGGCTTCGGACAGTCGCCGAAAAAACGAATGCTGCAACTCGCATGTCTTTCTCTTGTGCTCTCAATTATATCCCGCGAGCAATCTTTGCCTACTTTTAGACTTTATTTGCATTTTTTTTACTTTTTTTGGTAAAGGATATGATTTCCAAAAGAAAGCAACACACATGTAAATAACACTGTCGAAAAATAAAACAATAAATAATAGGTGACGTTTCAGGCAATGGCTCTTCTTATAGCAAACAAATCGGATCAAATAATGTTTACATCATGGACCTTCTTTGCCAGTACCAAAATATGAGAATACTTTTTTCCCTTTTATTTGTCAACAAAACAGCTGTGTTAATTTGTAAAAACACCAAGCTGAAACCTTTTACAAGGAATCATGTCTGCATTAACCACAATACTTGTGGTCAGAATATATTGGCATTGTCTTTGAAACTGATTGGTCTACACCAGAGACGACTTTCTTTTGAGCCTCGTCTCAAACGGTGTTAGACGAGAGGACGCCAAAAGGCGTGGACCAATCAGTTTCAAAGACAATGCCACATATATTATCAGAGGTTTCATTTTGTTTGCATTTTGACGACAAGCATTGTGGCTAATGCAGACATGATTCCTTGTAAAAGGTTTCAGTTTGGTGTTTTAACAACTTAACACCTGTTTTGTTTCCAGATAAAAGGGGAAAAAACTTATTCTCGAAGAATGGTGTTGCTGTTGTTAACAAATGTGTTTCGTTAATTGTGCTTCTGCACCACTGCCAACGTAGCAGCAGCGGTATCGCACACAAGAAAATTGTCCCAGCCATATCAACAATTATTTTAATGAGCGACACGTGTACTTATCACCAAACAATTCATTAAACAGCTGCCCAACTGCAAAAAAGGTTATCTCTCACGTAGATAATTAACGCTTGCATTTGCCAGTAACGTTCTCAGTCAGATAAAAAAACGATGAAGGATCAGTGAGGTAACTGGGTGGGTTTAATGATCTCCCGTGGGGGAGATGATCATCCAGCAGTGCATCGAACAAGGGCTGTCAAAATAACTGGGTTCATAAACTGCATCTCCTCCCACTCCCCAAATCCCCCCCCCCCCCCCACGAAGAACCCCCTCCCCCTTGCCCCCCACCTTCTATCGTAATTCTTAACACATTTCTTTGCTGAAAATGTCATAACTCGGGGCTTAGCTACGGTCTTCTTAACCCAACACCCTGGGACAATTCTCTCAGCTCGCGTTGCCTGATAGCCCAATGAAGTGACTTATGGCGTGGAAATGTATATCAGCCAAATACTCTAAACGCGTGTTTCTAAATGCGGAGGGAAAAACCCCAGGACCCGGAGAAAAATCCACAGGACCAAATATACAGCAGCAGGCGTCAAGGTCGGGATCGAACCCACGCCCTCCTTGCATACCAGGCGAGGAGGTCAACATCTCCTAGCCACCGCGGCGCCTCGCAAGAGCAGGTGGAGAGCCGAGCACTCACCGGTGTGGGCCGACAGGGATATGGGATCACCCAGGGACCCGCCCTCGCCGTGGACCCCCTTGAAGATCCCTCCGTGGGGGTCCGCCCCGCAGGGGCTCGCCGCGTCCCCGTCGCCGGAGCCCTTGACCGATTTCCGCCGGCGTGGTTGGTATTTGTAGTCTGGGTGGTCCTTCTTGTGCTGCACGCGCAGCCGCTCGGCCTCCTCGATGAACGGTCTCTTCTCGTTCTCGTTCAGGAGGCTGCGTGCGGTGATGATGATTACGATGATGATCGCGGCGATGATGATGATGATGAGATCGATTGATTGGTTACGGTGTCGTGATGATTGATGGTGGTGGTTATTACGGCGATGAGTGATGCAATGGATGGTATTTTTTGACATCACGATGATGATTGGCAGTTAGAATATAGTGATGTAGATTGATCACAGAAGAGCGAGCGTGTTAAACGTCATCAACGACGATGATTGATGATTTTGGTGATGATGGTAAGTGAGCAAATGGTAATTTTTAGCATCGCAACGATGGTGGCGAAAGTTATGTGGTTTTGCAGAGAGCATTTCGATCATCAATCATAATGACGACGATGATTCCAAATGATAACGATGACAATGATTACCATTTTGAAAAGATGATGATGATAGAGAGATGGGGAGATAAATTCATGCGCGGACACAGAAGAAAGAAAAACAATAATATTAGTACACGTAACTACTGCATATCACTCGTGCGGTAATACAGACGCAACGGGATAGTAGCAGCCGCATGTGCAATCACGTGTATGGAAGAGGCAGGTGGCAACCACGTGGATTGGACAGGCATGCCAAATAGATGGCCTCATTTTTTGTGTATGGATATCCACTATCGTTCACTTGACTTTTCCACTCAGCCACTCAACAACCGCCGACTCGCTCCCTCACTCACTCGATAACTCACTCAATCTCACACTCATTGATTCACTCACTTCAATCCAGTAACTCATCACTCGCGTGTTTACGCACTCGCTCACTCATACACTCAGTCACTTGCTAAAAACGAGCGTTCACTCACTTATTCACTCACTCGTAGATTAAATTTCACTGCTCGCTCATTCACTTAACTCACTCGCGCGCTACCTCACTCACCAACCTCACTCGTTCACTCGAGCGCTCACCAAATGACTCTCGCGCGAACGCATTCTCTCAATCACGCGCTCCCTCATACGCACACTCAGTCACTCACGAATTCACTCGTCCATGCACCAACTCACTCACCGGCTTACCAGCACCATTCACTCACTGACTCACAAACTCACGAAAACTCTCGCTTGCTCACCGCCTGCCCCCCCCTCCCTTCTTTCTCCACCTACATCACGTCTGTTGGAACGAGAGACGTGCCCTGGGGGATTTCATAACGGCACTCCCTTACCCTCCCCCGCCCCATCCCTCAATCCCTCAGCCAAGTCCACTGAAAACTGGGCACCACTGCCACGCTGCTTTAGATTATTCTCGCAAAGGGCTCAGCACCAGGGCTTAATTTCGCAGCGATATTTTGTGGAAAGCTGCTGCTAGGCTGGATTGGAGCAATATGGATTATCGGTGCAAGGCACTGCCAGTAGAATACAAGTTATGCCCGTGATATGAAAACAAAACAAAAATTATTCCTATAACCTTTTGAACAGGTTAATACAAACCCAGTGTAAAAAAATAACATAGAAGGGTCATTGCCCGAAACGTCGGCTGCTATATATGCGCCACTGCCAACGCAGAAGTATCGCAACACGTCTTGTCGTGATGTTGAGTGGAGTTGACCAATAACAACAATGATAAAAAAACAATTGATATTGTGCAGCTCTTTGCTGTAAATCCACGAGAGTTGTTTCTCGATTCTCACTCACGGCCAGCACCAGCGACTATTATCCGAACCGGTCCTGGGCCTCCCCTCGATCGACTCAGCCTCAAATGCGCACCTGGTTCAATGGATAAACTTCCTCACGATGGAGCTAAATGGTGCCCGGCATGGTGCTGACCCCCCCCCCCCCCCCCCACCCACCACGTATTATAAGGCGCTCGCGAACAGCACTTTCCCCAAAAAAGTTTGTAAAGGCTATACGGGGAATCTTTATCTTTATCTTTTTTGCTTGACCACAAACTACATCATGCTTGCCCGTGCCAGTTGGGGGAAGCGGACAGGGGGCGGCCAGAACCGGCTCAGATATCAATCACTCGCCACTGATGTTAGCCGTGCCCATAAATCTAACGCAGTTAGGTAGTGGCCAACATTGCCCGCCCTTCCCCTACCCTAGCCGATGTATATCTTGCGTGTAAGCATCTCACGTGTATATCTTGATTGACATTGTAATATCGTGTGGTCACATAACTCAGCTCATATGTTTAAAATCATATTTTATTTCACTCACTGAAGTACGTTACATTGCATGAAGAGAAAGGCAAAATTCTGCACCCCAAGATATTAGTTTGATTCTTGAAACTGCGCGAACCTTCTAATGACCAGCGTGGAGAAGTATGGTCAAGCAACATCACCATGATCGATACGGCGTCCGGTAGGCGGTGCAAACCCGTGCACAATTCCCAGTTCTCTGAGCCATTCCCAGCTACAAACGTCTATTCCTACACCGGTGCATCGCCAAGGACCACGCCTGTCAATCCACTGCTGGATGAACGTGCCCTTTGCACGACGCGTCAGCCACGGAGGGTTGATTGAGCACCGACCCGCATTGACCAGCGTGTAAAAATCGACGGTCAAACATAACCCCCGTGATTGAAAAGGCATGGGGTGGTGGCGGAGTAGGTTGGTATGATTGCACTCAGCAAACGGACTGATTGGCAAGCGAGGCTGAAACGGAGTCTCGTAATTAATTAAATACAAAAAAATGCAATGCGATGCAACACGCACACACACTGTTGCGTTTACGTAGCGTCTACACGCAGCTGAATCTCAAGTCGTAATGCCGACACAGTAGTGGGGGCACGTGCATCACAGGCAACATACATTGACTATTTTATTTTGAACACACACACGCAGAGAGAGAGACATATCCGATGCTGAAGAGGAAATTGTGGGAAAGTTATTTCGCCTGCAATTGGACAGGAGAGGGCAGTCAGCGAGGGCACGGTGTGAGCGAGTCAACAGCGTGCAAGGTGAGTTCTAACCTCCAGACTATTATAAGAACAACAGAAGAGAGGAGGAGCGGCCTACCAAAACAAAGATAAAGATTCCCCCTCACCCACCCTGCATAGCCTTAACAGACTGTTGGGGCAAGTGTTGTTGGCGAGTAGCAGCACCTTTGCCCAGGACCCGTTCTAATAATCATCGAACTCCAGTGGCCGGGTTTCGTAGCGTAGCGCGCTAGCTGCTATACAACCGCTCCCCAACACACACACACACACCAACACACACACACACCAACACCCACTCACGCCAACACACACTCACCAACACACACACACACGCCAACACACACACACACCAACACCCACTCACGCCAACACACACTCACCAACACACACACACACCAACACACACACACACGCCAAAACACACGCACGGACACGTACAGCGAAGATGACAACCAAAGCTCACTCACCGCCACAGCTTGCCCAGAGTCTTGCTCAGCTCGGCGTTGTGCAGGTGCGGGTACTGATCGGCGAGCTTGCGACGCGCCGCCTGCGCCCATACCATGAACGCGTTCATGGGCCTCTTCACGTGCGGCTTGCACTTGGAGGAGCCGTTCACCCTGACGGGCATCGGCACCAGGGTCCAGTCGTAGCCCTTGAGCACCTGGCTCACGGCCTCGCGGATGCTGTCCGGGAACTTCTCGTCGTCGTCATACCGAGTCCCGCAGCCGCTCTTGCGCGACCCTGCGACCCCGTGGCCGCCCACACCGCCGACGTTGCCGGCCAAGCCACCGCCGCCGCCCCCGCTCATCCCGGCCCCGTAGCTGCCCAGGCCGCTCTCGTCGCTGTCGGAAGCGCCGCTCAGAGAGCCCCCGTGCAGCGACGGCTCAGACTCGACGTCGGACACGTCCGGGCTCGGCACGTGCGACAGCATGTTGTGCAGTCGCTTCTCTGCCATCGCTCGCTCGAATCGCTCGCTTCCTCTGCGCGCTGCTGCGGCTGTGTGTGTGTGTGTGGCTGCCTCCCCCTCTGTCTCGCTAACGCTTCGCTCGGCGCGTGTCTCGCTGTGGGTGCGTGCGCGCCTATCTCTCGATCGCTGCCGTCTCTCAAAGCACCGCTGGCTCTGACGCCGCCTCTCTCGCGGGACAAGGTTGCGAAGACCGACTGCGCGGAACGGAGGGTGCTCAGCGCCGGAGATGCAATGCAGAGCTTAGGACTCCCGTAGCTGTGCTGCTGACACGTAGCGTCAACACGGGGGGGCAGAGCATCGACGCTCGCTGTGTAAAAGAACGCAGCCGAAAACGTGCCAATGACGAATGAAAATACCGACGATGGTAACGATGCGAGTAATGACTCAGCCCGCGCGCTCGCTCCGCTCTCACTCTCTGTGTCTCTCCGTCCCTGCAGAGCCGCGCACAAACTCCACTTGGGCTTCGCTCACGTTATAAACGCCTAATTATAAACATCGCCGAGTGACTCAACCCTCCAGTGGGCGGGGAACCCATCCCCATTGGCTGAATGTTTCGTTATTTTATTTTCTACTTTTTTTTGTTCTGCGAGTCGGCACCCCGTGGGGGATGAGGGGGTGGAGGGGTGGGATGGGTGATGAGGGGGGCGAGGGGAGGAGGAGGTGCGCTGAATGGGTGGGGGTGCCTAGTTTCTTGTACGAGGTGGATGGGTGGGTGAATGCTGGACCGTGTGGCTGAGAGCGTTTGTGGCTTTTGCTGTTAGGATGGAGGATTGTGAATTCTGCCGCTGTTGCTGCTACCGCCGATGATGATTCTGCTACCGCTGCTCTTGTTCTGTCCTTCCTTCCGAATGAATCGTGACGGTGGAAGGCGCCTGGCCGGCATTCGGGCTTAACGATAACCTGTGCGTTGTCAAGAGATGTCTCGTCAGTTACCGACTCCTCTCACTCTGTGATGGTGCCAGGACACGAACCCGCGCAGGGCACGCGGGTAGGTCGACGCGTGGTGTATTGTGGACATGCTTAGAGAGGGGGGGGGGCAGGTCTTACACCTGTGTACTCACCCCGTACAAATAGTCAGCGATAGTTCCGTACATACCACGACTATCTTTAATAGTTACCGTGGCATTTACAGCCTGAGCGCCATACACTTAAGTGCCCAATGTTGGCCGATTAAACAGAAGGCTGGTAGGCGGCTCGTGGATAACGCGCGCTACTTCACCTGCATGTCATTTATTGATGGGAACGAGGCACCATCGTCCGTGTCTTTCTGCTTGTTTATTATTTACGCGCGGCTGCTTGGTTCGACGCGTTCCGCCTACAGCTGTATCGCTTAATGCGAAAGCTAAACGCGAGTTGCGTCGCGCTGAGTCGCATCGGCGTTTTTTTTGTGCGTGTGTTTTTTTTTGCGGATACGCAAATTGCAGGTGGTGACGAAGGGCACTCGTGTCTTTTTGTTCGCTACAGCGCCCGTTCGAACCCGCGTTCGACTCCCGCGCACGGCTATGCACGACGAACATCTGACCACGTGTTTGGGGCCCCGACCTGAACACAAGTACCTGGTGCCGATGTGACACGCATCATCGATGGGAGACTAAGTCGGCCGATGTTGGGCGCGGTGCTGGCCACGAACACTCTCTCGTTATGTGCCGCTCCGGCCTTCTAAAACGTATGTACGTTGAACTTCTTTCGCACCGTGCTAATCGGAGGTGGCGGGTGAAGGACAACAAACTGAAACACACAAACTGAAAGAGGTGTGTGGTGCGGATTATAAATGTTTACAAGCACTCTTTCCTGCGAGCAGTAAAGTCTGCTGCGTCCTAACTTGTTGCAACTTAATTCGGACAGATTGCTTTGATGTAAGTAAAAAAAAAAAAAATCATCCGGATGTTTTGAGGGCAGGCATCGTCCAGCAGTGGATCGATCATAGCAGCTGATGATGAAATATAAACACATCTTCTCAGTTGCTGATTTATTAGCGCTGTACTTCGAGTGACGTTACCAATCCACCGATGGTTATCGACCCGCGACGGACGCCACGTGCCACTCGTGGGAGTTGTTCGACCATACTTCACCACTCTGGTGACCACGCGTTGGTGATGGACGGAGGCGGCGAGGGCAGCACCCGCTCCGTGAACGGGACTCTAACTTGTGTCGCTGCAGTGGTTTAGCGCAGTGGGCTAACCACAAAGACAAACGCACACACGCGCACTTGATGCCTGTGTATGTGCGTGTACATGTGGGGGAGCGGTAGTGTAGCGGTTAGCGAAGCTGCGCTAAGAGCCTGGCGGCCCCGGGTTCGATTCCCGCTCACGACCAAAAGCGGTGACGATTATTTGAACCGGTCCCGCGCCTCCCCTAGGCCGACTCAGCCTCAAATGAGTACCTGGTGCGATTTGTAAGCATCGCCACTGGGGAGACAAAGGCGGCCGGGCGTGGTGGCGGCCACCCACCCCCTCGTGTGTCGTGTCGGCCTTCATAGGTGTTCGCTAACAGTATTTTAAGGCTATATGGAGGTTTTTTGTCTTTGTGTGTGTCGACACGAATGACATTATTGCAATGGTCAACAGCGTCTTGCGTTAGAATTATGTAAACGACACATCACTAACGCATGTATTATATCATCACTATCATTATGAATGCTATGCACACACATGCATAGCCTTTATCCAGCATTGGATTAATTAAGTAATTGGTGGATTAATTTATTGGTTAATTATTCTTTATCATTTAATTATTCTATTTACTTTACATCATTACGCGTGTTATGCCCCGTTTTAGTAGCGCTTGAGTTCGTGGCACGACGTGCAGAGGCATTTAAGAAATTATTCGCTTCCAGGAGAGGCAATTGATACTAAACGTCTCTTACCTCGAGGTTCGGTTTATACCGATGGGGGGCAATGCCAGCAAACGAATTCTGACGAGTAAACAAACCAAATGACGTTACGATAGATATAAACACAGTGCTCCGGGGATTATAATATGTATACATTATACCGGCATATGTATATACATGGTTCACGAGTTAATGCTCATGTGATATTTCGAATAGACATTATATAAATGGCTTACAGCTCAACATACACACACGCATGCACGCATACACACGGTATATATGTAGTGTGTACATACACAGAATGTTTGACGACGGGGTAGCGGTTGGGCAGTGGTTAGCGCTCACAGCGCAATACAACGCGGCGAGACCTCTCGGTTTTGAGCCCCAGCCCCCGGCTAACATCAGTGGCGAGTGATACCTGAACCGGTTCTGGGCAAGCTAATTTTCTTCACGAACAACGCGAATGAGGAAGTATGATCCAACAAGCCCCATAACCTTACAACGCCGTGGGGGGCGGGGGGTGGTGGTGACCTTTATCCAGCAGTGGATTGAGAAAGGTGCTCCGAACAATATACGTATGGTGCATGTAGACACACACGCACACGTAGATGAACGCGTACAGATGCATACGTAGTGTTATATACATACTCTACGTGCTGCGTTGGTATAGGCAGGAGGCTAAGTCGCTATGAACATATATTGCATGAATATCTAAAGTAGAGTTGAGCTATAGAACAGCTGGCCATTGACGTTAACATCGCACATTTGTCAAACACACACACCTGGATATACAATCGCACAGTCGTACAAAGTCGTTATATTATTCGCGGAACATTTGTCAAAGGAATATACTGTACATAACTGTGCCATTGTACCAAATACGTAGCCGACAAGAGTTAGTTTTTTTAGTTTTTTGTTTACAAAATCCACAGTAGTTTATTATTGTATTACAGTAGTTAGTATCCTAAGTTGTATGTATCAGTTCATCGCGGAGGGATATGGGATTGGGCTAACGCAGGACCGTTGGGAGGACGTCTTCATCTAGCGGTAGATAGATACAGTATCACTAATTGACTGCTACTCCTGCTGCTGCTGATGATGATGATGATTTGGGTCTATGGTCATTTGTACATTTATCCGCGATATTTACATCAGTTACGGTACGTGTTTTGTATCGGTGCTTCTCCCCAGGGCAATTTGTCAATCCACTGCTGGATGAAGACCTCTGCGTCAACGTGGCATCCAGTCGTGTCGGTTGTTCCACTCGATCTCACTTCGCTCACGCTGGTGCTCGGTCTGGCTGGACGAAGGTGGTGGTGGTGGTGGTGGTTGTGGTGGTTGTGGCGGGGAGCGGTGGCGCGGTGGTTAGCGTGTTGTGCTCGGAACTCGGCGGTCCCCGAGTTCGAATCCCGCTCACGGCCACCAAACACCGGTGACGATTATCTGAACCGGTCCTGGGCCTCCCCCAGGTTGTCTCAACCTCACGTGAGTACCCGGTGCGGTGTGTAGTAAACATCGCCACGAGGGAGACAAAGGCGGTCGGGCTTGGTGCTGGCCATCCACCACCCTCAAAGGTGCTCGCTAACAGCACTTGCCCCAACAGTCTGTTGAAAGCTATACGGGGGAACTTTGTCTTTTGGTGGTGCGGAGGGGGCAGGGGGTGGGGGCATCGGTTCGGATATCGCTTCGCCACTGATGTTAGCCGTGGCCGGGAATAAATCGAACTCAGACCACTGTGGTTCAGATGATAGCGCACTGCGCTAATCTCTGCTCCACCGCTCCTCCACTCACGTGCGCAGCGTTCGCTGTCGCGCTCTGTAAGTGTGTATGGTCCTTTAATTAGATTAATGTAAATGTAGTATATACATATACAGTGATAGATTACTGGACATGACCCTTGTTTTAGATTACTGTGTTGTATATCGATGTGTGTGTATATATATACACGCACACATCAATTAATATACACACAGTAATCTATATACACACAGCAATCTAAAATAAGAATCACGTTGTCGAACGCAAACCGTGGGTGTCAATGTCCCACGTCAGTGAATCAACATGCAGAGATAATGACGATCACTCAAAAAAACCACTCACCTCATTCATCATCAACACCGTCCGATAAAGAGGACCATATAGACAGCGATAGGCTGACGTTTCAGACAACGACCCTTATTCGGGGTACATATGGTTGTTTGACACAGCTTTCTATGAAAGAGCCTATAATGCAAATCTAATCACAGTGCAAGACCACGATGTGTAAATTCCCCTGCCTCTGTGCAATCGCAGTGACAAGTACTTCCTCATTTTAACATTTGACCACAAACTCGGCCACCTAAGTTCGATTTCCCGAACACACGGGCTAAAATTAGTGACATCTGAACCGGTCTTGGTAAGCATCACATCATCAACTCGAACTTTCCAGCGTGGTGACCAACACGGCGTGGGGGGGGGGCCTTCATCCAGCAGTGGATTTAATAAAGGGCTGCAAATAGTCGTTAAACACGTGACTCGTAATTTACCACTGATCAGTAAAACACGAATGTCATGTATGAACACTCGTATTGTGTAATGCGTTTGTACTTTTGCGATGTATTTGTCATGCGAGGGGAGGGGATTAAAGTCAACGATGACTTCTGTCTCTCCGTGCGTTATTTTCTCGCGTGTTTACTCTTGCAATCAATGTGTGTGGCTGTCAACAGT